TATATATATATATATATATATTCATATCTTTGATGAGTAGTATTTTTTAAAAAAATTAATTGTCTATAAGGCTACAAAAATTTATAATCAATTGAACGTATTAATTAAAAAAATAGCATAAAAAATATTAAATTAGATTCAAATGATGTTTTAATATAAAAAATAATTTTTAAACCTTGCCCAAATCCTTAACATCTTAGGGTTGTCAAAACGACTCTTTGTTCGTGAACGGCTCGTGTTCGGCTCGCTAAGCAAACGGATCGAACACGAACACACTTTTTTGAGCTCGAAGTATAAACGAGTCAAACACGAGCTGAGCCTGGACTCGCTCGTGTTTTGCTCGGTTACAACCCCCCTACCTATTATATGTGCTATAAAAACAAAAACAAATATCTTTCATTAAAGTCCAATTTCATAATAAAACAAGTGTAAAATATAAAGGAAATTAATCATGCTTGATGACACGCCAGCATGTGTGAATTACTCTTCTTTTGTCAGGCCCAAATATCTTTGATTTTTGCCTAGATTCTATGTCATTAACATAACAATATCAATAATAAATGCTAATGAAGAACCTTCTTCAGCAAATGGTGGTCTATAATTATTGTTGGTGACAAAATAATTCAACTTAATAATGTCATCATCTCCAATGTTTCTAATATTCAAGAAACAAAATCTCAAGAATTCTCCTTAAAAGAAATTCAAGACACAATGAAATGAAAATGTCCTCGAGAATCTCCGAAGTGATTTAAACAACAAATGCAAGAGTTCTATCTGCGAAAAAATGAAAGCACTATTTGAATCAGATATGCCAGTATCGAATGTCGGGTCATACGACAAAGAAAATTGGGAACAAATAATGACCCACCTTATTTCAAATTAACAACAAAAGCAATGTCAGTTTTATGATGTCATGCTACACCGAGCTCATGAAAAAACTAGTAATAATTTCGATGGTTGTAATAATATCAGTTGTTGGAGTAGTGGCTGTAATAACGTTGGTTGGTATAATAGCGTTTATAATTATTTTCTGTTTTTATGTCACATATAATGAATGTGTTATCTTTTATTAAATTTTAATGTATTTGTTTGGATTCCGCCCTCATCTATAAATAAGGGTTTGGTATTACATTTAGTTGTGCAAGTTTTTAGCGACTCTTTTTTTTGTAAACTAAGTGTGCTCTACTGGTGTTCCTCTCACGTTGAAGTAATGTAAGTTTTTATGTTATTAATATATATATAT